CGCATATACCTACGAAAGGATTCCCTGTGCTGTGTCGTCGTTATAGAGTAAATTAAGAAGGCTACTACTCTGTAACAATATCTTTAAAATTCATCAAGGTATGAGCTGTGAAAGTTGAGGTATGGATTTTTTTAAATGTCAATCTTCCTGATTTCTATTAATGGCAGCCTATATATCACGTTTCAGAACTACTATTTAAAGATTTTGTAGATTTAAAAAACAGGTTTTTGCAAATATTTTGAGATTCCATGATTAGATTTAGATATTTTTATATTATTAGATTGCTCACTGAGCAAACCCAACAATATCAAAATCACTAAAATCCAACTATCATATTGTTGCGAAATAATGCGCAGGGGTGAAATTACAAATTTTGGCCTAAATTAAGTTTAATTTAAGCCAAACCTCTAAATAACACCCATGCCCGTTATTTCACGACAATACGGTATAGGATCTCGAGATATTTACAAAAAACCTTAATTTTAATATGTAGTAGTTCTGAAATATAATATCTTGTGATTATGTGATCCAATTTGGATAATTTTAATAATATTAATGAGACAAATATAATGATACCAAAATTGTCAAAAATAGATTACAGGATCTAGAAATATCTTTAGTTTTTTGTTAAAATTTGCTAATACTGTATATAAAAAAAAATCCAATGTGATTGGTTTATAAATATAAAAACCTTCCAATGAAAAAATTTTCTAGTCAGACTTGCTCACTAGAAGCATTGGCTGGTTAAAATGATTTGGAAGTCTAGTCTTTCAATGGGCAACACTATACTGGTATACATTGCTATTATTATTATAATTTTTATTTTAAATATATATTATTAAACAAATTTTTTAAAATATTTAAATATTTTAACAAATCAAAAAAATAATTTTTTATAAAATAATTTTAAACTAATTAGTAAGATTTTATAAAATTGTCAAAAGCACTAATTATTTATTAATATTTTAGAAAGTGAGTTTAAGCTAAACCTTACCTTGGTTTGATTTAATTGGCTAAAAATTAGTTACATATTATATAAAAAGAGAAATAAGCTTTTATAATAAATAAAATATTAGGTAATAAATATCATAGCTCTAAAATAGTTTTTAAAAAATATTACAGTATTTTTATAAAAAGTCATAAAATTATTGTCTAAAGGTTCTCCTCTCTCTTTATCTAAACTAATAATAACTTGTTCTAGCTTTTACCAATTTGAGCAAAATACTGTAGTTTTATTACTAGTTAAAATAGAGAATATGAAGGTATTATATCGCACAACTGTGTAGCTTATCATTGTGGCAAATTTATGAAATTAGAGCATTTTGACTTACTATTTGTTTTTTAACATTTCTTATTGTAAAATTATATAGATTATGTCTGACCCATCTTCCCGTGAAAAGATGGGTTAGACGTTATCTACATGATTTTGCAATAAAAAATGTTAAAAAAACAAATGATATCAATAAACAAAAACAAAAAATAATTATTGTCTAGTCACCTTAAATATTAAAAAAATAAAAAAAATAAAAAATAATTATTGTCTAGTATAAACTACCAACAGTATTAAAAAAAATTATTATCAAATAAAAGATCTATATTTAGTATTTAATATACAATATACTGTATATACAATATATATAATGATAAATACTTAAACTTTTAAGCATGTCTTCTATACATTGTAATAAATTTCAAGTTTAAACCAGTTGTTATCTTTATCCGGGCAAAAACCGTTAATTCTGGTCATATTACCCGTGACTCAATTTTATATTATGAACAGCGCCGATCAACAAAAAAAAAGTTTAGATTAGAAGTCAGATGTCCATCTAATCTTTTAATAATGTCCTCTAATGTTAACTCTGCTGAAGAAACGCAAACAATTTCTTCAACAAGCCCAATATCTATAAAATCGGAAAATTCTATTGATTTATTAGAAGAAAATGAAAACAAAAAAACTTTTGAAAAATGGCGAAAAAGTTTAATGTATATTACAGGTTTAGGTTTATCTGAAAAAGAAAAGGTTGAATATAAAATAGAATTAGAAAGAAAAATTGGTGATTATCAACATAGAAAGTGTGAAAAATGGCGAGATGATTTAATGAAAGGAAGTATGTAGTCGGGTATATTTTTCTGTTCTTTTTAAAGTTAAAAAGGACAATGATTTTTATATATTTTATATATTTTATATAATTTTTGAATTTTTGTTTAGGCCCAATTGTAGTATTTATGCTAAAAAATTTAGAGGAAGCAGGATGTAAACCAGATAAAAAACATTTTAAATGCCTACCATGTGATAATACACGTAGTGGAGGATTTTCTCCTGATCATGGTATAATGCTGTGTCAAAACAGATTTTCTAGTAAACGCCATATAGAAGATACAATGGTACATGAAATGATACATTTGTATGATCACTGTCGATTTAAAGTGGATTGGAATAGTTGTTTGCACCATGCATGTAGTGAGGTTCGTTATTTCCTGCCAGTTATTAAATTGTAATTGCATAATACCTTTTGACTATCTATAAATAGGTTCGGGCTGCAGCTTTGAGTGGCGACTGTAAATGGACTCGTGAAATTAAACGTGGATTTTTTAATTTTACGAAACAACATCAGGTTTATCAATGCGTGCTGATTAATTTACCTTTTGTGTATTTATCTTTCTTAAACAACTTGCGTAATTGCAATGTTATTTATTTTCACACATTATGACATAAAGGCTTGTGCAAAGAGACGTGCTATACTTTCTGTTCAGAAGAATGCGGCATGTTCAGCCCCCGGTGTAGCAGAAAGAGCGGTTACTGAAGTTTTCGAAAGTTGCTTTAACGATACAAGACCATTTGATGAAATTTATTAAGTTTACGCAATATCGCAATTAACACTAATATTTGTTACTTACTATTGTAATAGTTATGTAATAAATTAGTAATTATGTATCAAAATAGAAAATTAATTATTAATTTCTTGGTATACACTAAAGCCAGTAGCAAAATAAAAAAAAATTATCAATATAAATGACTGTCCGGTTTTAACACATCCTAATTTCTGATAATAGTAGAGATTCAAGAATCTAGAAATTTAGGAGAGTCACAAATATTAAGTCACTTACTCGCTACCTTACAATGTGAACTTAACGTAGTGCATTAAAATATGTCGCATCTAGTATATTGCCGAATTATAAGCTTAGACTAATTCTAAATGTTAAAATATAATAAGAGGCAAACAATCTAAGTTGTAAATTCAAAGCAATAATATACTTTTTGTTGAATAATGAAGTTAATATTACTAGTATTGTTCCTGGACACGTCCATGGACATATATACTGCCTCTGTTCATATGTCCATGTTAATGTCCATGTCCAGGAACAACACTGAATATTACATTGTAGCAATTTATCAAATATTATTATATAGACTTTCGGCTAAAGCAAGTTTATTTTGGTTTTATGGATTTAATGTTATTAAATAATACTGTAATATATATATATTTAAAAATAAAAATCATAAAATATTAACAGGTAATATTTTAAATTACAGTATAAAAAAAAATAAAGTTATTTATATATTAAAAATCTTTTACAAAATTGATTTTTAAAAACAATTTTAATTAATAAAATTTTTGTAACTTTAATTATAAATTAAAAAACTTTTTTAAAAATTAAAATATTTTAACTACTAAACCAAATTCAACAAAATTTTTTTACTGTAATCCATAACTATATTATTAAAATAAAAAAAAAATTTATTAAATTTGGTTTAATAGTATTAAAATTATAAATTATAATAAAAATTTTATTTATATACTTTTATTAATAAAAATAGTGAATAATCTTAAAATAATTAAACATACAATCCGTATACTAGTTGTATACTAAACAGTTTAAAAGTATTTTTTACTTTTACTAATAAAAATTCCATTTATAACTTTAATAAAGTGTCAAACAATAATATACAAAAGATAAAAAAACAAAAGACTTGAAAAATATTAAAAGGTTATTTACTATCTATTGGATTATGCTATATATATATCAATGATAAATAAGAATGATGTTTTTGCTAAAAACATTTTATTGGTATTTAAAATATGAATTAACTATTTAATTTAAACAGAGTATCGGTATGTTTTACTCTTTGCAGTAAATTACTTTATAATATACTGCTACAGTACATATATATATGTGATACTGTATAAAAATGCTTCTTTTGAATTTAAGCTAATCCGCGTAAACGAGGATTTTCCTTCGATAAAGTGATGCCATTCTCACAAAAAACTATTTTAAATGATTAATTTACTGTTATTTTTTTTTAAATAAGAATTTCGATTATCAAATGACAGCATAACGATCAATTAGAATTTAATTCTCGATAACGATAAAGTTTTCCGATTAGATTCGACTTTAGTTAGTATTAGCAGGGTTGTGAATAGACAGCCATTAGACACCATTAGACATATATTTGTCTAATGATTTTTTCCCATTAGACTATGTAAGCTGGTATTAGGTTTTAAATTTTGAAACCCGAAACTAGAATCAAAAGCGGAATATCCCGTGACTATTAACCGATCATCGCAGGCGTATAAATAGGTTTTTTTTTGATTTTTTTTTTCTTCCTCTCCTACATTCCTTGTGTTAAATCAAGGGTAGGTAATTGATAAATTAAAAAAATTCATCTATCTGTTTATAATCAATTCATGTATTATAAGTTATGCTTTGAAAACAAACTGTTTGAATTTTCTTCAGAAATCATATTTTTCAATGATTTGAATTTTCTTCGGAAATCTCATATTTTCAATGATTTTACAAGAGAATTAAGGCTTCGTTCAGAGGCAATTTTATTAATGATGGAACGTGTTAAGGGATTATCCGATTAATTAAACAATTATATTTTATAAAATTGGTTTAAAAGAGAAAATGAAGCATAACAACCAGCTTCCGAACGGCCATTTCCACAAGGATTGGCAGTTGCGCGTTAAGACTTGGTTTGATCAGCCAGGACGAAAAAAGAGAAGAAGAATTAACCGAATACAGAAGGCTGCTCGAATCGCTCCACGACCTACTGAACTCTTAAGACCAGCAGTTAGATGCCCAACTATTAAATATAACACCAAATTAAGAGTTGGACGTGGATTTACTCTTGATGAACTCAAGGTTAATTATAAATCCTTTGTTCATTTAATTAATATTCGATATCTCAATATTTTGGTTTATTTTGTTCCTTTATTGAGATTTGATATTACAGTAAAAATATTAATTATTGTTATTGATTCTTTAATAACAATAAAAAAGAGTCATAGTATTAGTAACGTAAAAAATTAGCAGACACAGGATTATAAATAGTCTTTCGGAAACTAGCATACATATATTATATTAGTAACATTTGAATTCCCTTTATTAAATTTTGGAATTTCATCTTGATAGGCAGCTGGAATTCGTCGTAAGGAAGCGCTCACTATTGGCATTCCTGTTGATCACCGACGAAAAAATCGATCTGAAGAATCTCTTCAACTTAATGTCGAAAGATTGAAGGCTTATATGGCTAGACTTATCGTCTTTCCCAGAAAACCCCGTAAACCCAAGAAGGAAGAACAAAAGGAGGCATATGAGGTATTATTTAATTTTATATTTTCATTAGTAAAAATTTGTCATCTGACTTATGTATAATTATCATCAAGAAAAAGAAAAATGAATATGAGGTATTATTCTTCAATTGTATTTTTCCATCGATTATGAAAATTTGGTTACATGACTAATATATAATTATCATTAAGACCAAGAAAAATGAGTTTTCCACTGCTGAACAACATAAAGGCCTCATTATTCCCATCCCCACTCGACAAGTATTGCCCGCAGAAGATGCACGTATCATTACTGATGAAGAAAGAGCAGCTAGCGCGTATATCACATTGCGTAGAGCGAGGTCTGATGCTCGCCTTGTTGGTGTGCGTGAAGCTCGCCGTAAAGCGAAAGAAGAGGAGGAAGCCACCAAGAAAAAGTAACAGTGTTGTTGAACTGGAAACTAGAACCCCACTGGACGTCCAGATTTTTCAGTGTTTCAATGATTCCAGTGAAAAGTTCCACTGGAACTTTTTTTTTTCACTGGAACATGTATATTATTAACCAATGAAATGCATGATAGTCAATAATATTTTCTAATAAATTACTTCGCTGTTACAATAGGTTATTCAGACATTGTACACATGTGTAATTAGTTCGGAACTTATGCAAATAATATTACAATACTTTAATCATAAAGATTGTTTGCAAATTCTGCACATAACCTAACGACTGCGAGGTTATTATGTGTGTTACCCAAAATTTTTCAAAGTAAATTTTTTTAAAAAAAATTTGAATAAAAGAAACTTAATAATAATTTAAGTATTTGCTATTTCCACCCATAGTTATGTAGATTATAGCCAAAATTAGAGAAATAGTGATTCCCTAAAAAAATACAGATTAATATAAACTTATTTAAAAATCCAACTTATCTGTCTATACAAAAATAAAATGTAAAAGCAAGAATTACTGTATATCTCATATATGAATACATAATGGCCGAAACCTTGCGTTAATAAACTAAAGATTATTTTATTGATTGATATATATTTAACATTCAAATTTGTATCACCCGACTTTATACATAATGGATGAAATATTTGACAAAATAGGTTGTTACTTTCATAAGTAACAAGTGGTTTATGTATATAATGTCACAAAATCGAATTAGATACTAATTAAACATCAATTTAGTGCCATTATTATTATACAAAGAATTCAAATGTTCATTACGTTATTTTAGAGCTGAAATAATTTTTACCTAACAATGAAATCTGTTAGTTTGTTTAAAGTAAAAACCTCAAAGTTGTGTAAATTGTACTCACTTCATGCACGATAAGAAAACATATCTTTCTGACCCTCAACACGTTCAATATACTCTTTTTCCAGCAAGACGTCAATGCATTTTTTAATATCAGGTATTTTAGGCTTGAAACGATTCGACAATTGTGCAATCACTTCGTTCACCAAGGCAACATGTTTCAAAGTTTTCCTGGTCTTCATAATACGAACAATAGCGGCCTATATATATAAAATAAGTAATTGTAATTCTTTATGAATGAATAATAATCATATATGACCAATTTTGAATTTACGAACCTGCATCAATAATTTTCTGTCTTCCTCCACAGTTTTGTGGGTTTCTTCTACTTCTACTTTTTGCTCAGATTTGACCGGAACATTTAGTTGAATACGAACTTTCTTGCTAGTAAGTGATAATGCGCGAATATAGATATGGTTGATTATTATAACAAAGAACAATGCTAAGTTAAATGACTTCATGTCTGAACATTTTGAATAATAAACCTCTTAAACTCCGTATTCAATTCGTAACGAGACGAAGGATCACCGACTTCCGTGCCGTCAGAAAGTTCAAGTACCTTTGCCTTAACTAAAGTCCCTAGGGCACCTATCAAAACTTCTGCATTCAAATCTGTGCTCTGTTTTAATTCCTCAAAGGTGTATGACAAATCTTTGTTGTACTGCAAAAGAATCCCCATTTGGTATGTTGATACCTAGTATGTAATAAGGTTTATTTTATTAAGCTCGATATTTGCGTCAAAAAAGTTACAACTGATAAGTTGATCGAGCGCCTCGCTATTACCAACCTGGAATGTATACCCTGTCTTCGATAGGTGACAATAGTTAGCCTTTAATTCACCTTTTGAAAGATGGAATAACCAATTAAGTTTGCGACCAGAATGTTTATTTGAATAAAACATCTTGAAACGTTGGAAAGTTCTTTCAAGCTGTGATATAAAAAAAAATAAAAAAAATAAATAAATAAATAAAAGCCAAAACATATATGTAACAATAAGGTGATTTCATATTATATATTACTTCTTCTGGTATGTTAAAGTTTGTTGTTGATGGTTGAAGCGGCCAAGACGCAGTACCCAAAACAAGAACAGAGAAGTCGACTAAGGGTATATGAAAATGCAAAATGAGATAGTTAAATACTAAAATCAATTAGTATAAATTTGAATTTAAATAAATTAGTTACCTTGTTCATTAGCTTCCATAGAATTGCGCTCTTTGAATTGATCATTAAGATCTTTGCTTAATCCCATATCGGTAAACATACGTTGTAGTTTTGATGTATATTCGAAGCCACATGCTTCCTGTAAGAATATTTAGAAGATAATTTACATCACTTGCATTTAATTAAATTGCAAGTGCATAGCAACAGGTTATCACATCCAACCTTTAATTTAGATATCATGCTAGATTCTGCGTCTTCTGATGCTGATGTTCCGTTTACTAAACGTTTTGCCAACATCTTTGAATAGAACTTTTGGAAAACGTCTTTATCCTCCACATATTTAAATACAGTCATCTAAATAGCAATTTTTTTTCTATTAGCGTTAAATAATATACTCAATAATTATAATAATAGAAAGTATTTACAATATTATTTAAGACATCTTCAAGATCATTTTCTTCGGGGTTCTTTGAACTTTTTCTAAGCAAGGAATCACAAAATCGAGCCAATAATTCTGGTGATTTTGATGTCGAGGCTTTACACACTTTATTGCGATTTACAAATTCTCGGCATGCCTAATTAAATTTTTATTAGCAATGAACATAGAATAACTTAAAATAGAATATGTAAACTGATATTTTGTATTTACTTTATCAAGTGAAGCAACGAAACCAGCTTCGCCTCTAAAGGCTGTTGTGACCATATCATTATATTTACTGTGAACTTCAAGTAACGCGTCAACATATATTTTCGGTTCCTGCAAACAAATAAACCAAAGGGTAAAATGGATAGTTTGAAAATCAAAATCAGATAAAAACGGTTAATAAATGACAACAATTAGTAACCTAAAATCATAATACCATGTTATCGCTGACTTGATCTGCAACTTTCTCAATAGCATTTAACCCTGCTTTACGAACGTGTTCTTCGAAGCGCGTGCGTAAAGGTTCTAATCCATCAGTAATACGCGACAAAAGAGAATACATTCGATTTAAATCATCCATCCTATCAAGGTTTAGTAGATTCTGGAATTCATCCCACATAATATCAGTGTGATTCTTCACGAGCACTGTCTCACATGTTGTGATAAGTGGTTTGTGGGTACTTTGGTGCAAATATAGTTTAACCCGATTTTCTTCCTCTCTTAAACGAGCTTCAGCCTATTTGTAATACAAAGGAAACTTTTTAAATATAACAAACATACATACTAAAATAAATCTTTAAACCATGGACATTACATTACCTTCTTCATATATTCAGTGACGCTGTTCTCACTAACAAATTTCTCTGATTCTGCTTTATAATAAACTTCAGAAGCTTCTACGAATGGTTTTTGAAAGTGCTCCTTGTATACGTCAAGCGTTGATTTTGTGGAATCGGCATCATCAAGACCGAGGGCAACTAAAAGAACACTGATATTAGCAAATATCAAACAAAACTGAATATGTTAAAAGCGACATTACCAAAGGATTCAACAACGCTTTTCACCAAGCCAGTTTCGACGCTCTCACCGTTCCTTTGACGTTCGATGAGTTTTAGAACAGCTGCCATTACATGACGCTCTACATGCATGAACATATAATCTCGCCAGCTAACAAGAGTGAGCTGTTTAGAACGTAGATAAAGATTATCAAAGTCAATAAGTATACGTTCGTAAAATGATAATACATCAAATTTCATAATCATTGTATTTCTTACGGTATAAACATCATAAACAGTTTTACGGCCTTCATCGATTTCTCTTTTGACCCAGTGACGATTAAGGTATCTGAATACATGATGTACGTAGGAAGACGCCGTAGTATATTTCTCCCAGTGTTTTGTGTAATACCGCAGTAAATTTTCATCCATATGTTGAGTTGAATTCTATTAAAAGGATGTTTAATTGTTTGAAAGATATTTATGGAAAATAAGATTACAATTTCAAAAATATGTAAAATCTACCTCGCGAATAGTATGAAGATATCTTTCAAGATATCTTTGAAGGTTTTGATATAAATCACTTCCCATTAAATTGGCACCTGTTAAATATTGAAATTTTGTTAATATATGGGAACCCCCACAGCAAAACAAATCAGTGGGCAAAAAAAATTTTTTTTTAAAAAACTCAATTTCTCGAAGAATTGAAGTATTAGAAATGCAATTTTTATAAAATTACAAAAACAAAATTTTTTGCCCACTGGTCTGTTTTGCTATGGGGGTCCCCATATTATGAAAGAGTCAATGATTAAAGAAAAATCGAAATTATATTATTTGTACCTCGATTATTACTTAGGTTTGCACCGGGACCTGCGAGAGGTTCTGAAGTAAACCCAGGATTCATACGACTGCTCGTACAATAATTGTAGATACCACTAAATGATTCAATTCAATAATGTTAAAGATAACAATGCTCGTTGAATAGATCAGCAACATGATGAAAAAAAATCATAAATAAAAAATCTAATTTTAAAGTTTAATGAAAAATTTTTGATAAAAGCATACGTATAAAGATCCATATATCGTTTATAACTAAGCCCTTCTTCCAATCTATTCATAATATGTTCGATGCCATTTTCAAGAAAGTTCCATGTAGCTGTCAAATCAGTTGGAGCTGGTAATGGTGGGCTAGAAGAATCCATGCTATCAATCACTAAAAGCGTGAAGTAGACTACTTATTCGTTTGAATTCTAAAAGGTGAATACTTTCTTAGTTATTACATTTAATTGATGCTTCAAGTTGATTCAAGACCGTACCTTATTTTGTAAAAGCAATGATTTAAGATTTGGGATAAAGTGTGCAAAATTAAAGGTACTAAGACACTTTATTTAAATAAAGTAGATATACGCTAAGGTGAGACGCTAGCTTAGCTTGTTAGGTTCGTATGTATTTTTTATGCGGAATTGTTGCTCCGATTTTTGGATTTGGAAACCCGTATCTCACGTCTCACGTGATGATATCTCAACACGTGATTATGGTAATATAAGATAATTTTTTTTTTTTGATAGATCTCCCTCCTTCAAAGGTCTACTGCCTCGCAAAATGGTCAGTACAAGAATCCAATCGGTGAAAATAATGTAGCATTTTTATTTCAATTGGGAAACAATTTAAAAAATTGAATACATGATATTTTCGGATAATAAAGTGTTTCTTTTTTATTGCATTGAATTTATGCTATTATTATTCTCCGATAATTATTCAATTCTATTGAATATTGTAATTTAGTAAAAAGAGTGAAGATCTATCAATTTATCTCATTTAATTATAATTACTTACCTTCTTCATTATAATTATTTTCAATATTTCACAGCCCTTCGTCAAGACAGTAAAAAACAAAGGTAGATATAATGTCACTGATTGGTTTGTAATTGTGCAGGCTCAGATTAATTTGTTTTTTATTTAAATCATAGCTTACTTCAAACGATATCAAGTAAAATATCGTAGAAGACGCGGTATGCTCGATAATGATATGTTACAATAGATGAAAACAAAAATGGGCTAGTTGCCTTTCTTTGAAAATTTCGGCAGAATTTATGATGATAATATAGTTCATCTGAATTTATTTTTCATGTTGTTCTTTTCGCTCCTATCTGAAATTATACTTATAAAAATCCTATGTTACTCACATTTTTTTCGCATAGATTCGAACCATTAACAATGATTTGATGATCTTTTTCCTTTTCTGGTTTGATATATTTAATAGAGGGCAAGACCGATTATTATGCACGTAAAAAGCTTGTGATCCAAGCCAAGAATAAGTATAATTCACCGAAATATCGATTGGTCGTCCGTTTTACTAATACGGATGTGATCATTCAAATCGTGTACGCAAAGATAATCGGTGACGAGGTTATGACAGCTGCGTATTCGCATGAATTACCAAAATACGGTATTCAAGTAGGTTTGACAAATTGGGCAGCTGGTAAGAATGACCCTGAGGATATGTGTTTAATGGCAATATGAAACCATGTTATAACCTTATATATATATATATATATAATATTACAATTAATAGCGTACGCCACCGGCTTACTCGCTGCTCGTAGAATCCTTACAAAGCTTAACTTAGCCGACAAATACGAAGGTGTTATCGAACCAGATGGTACAATTTGTCCCATTGCTGAATTGGATGATGAGGACGCACCACGTCCTTTTAAGGCCTTCTTAGACGTGGGCTTAAAACGTACATCCACAGGTTCAAAGGTCTTTGCTGCGTTGAAAGGTGCCTCCGATGGTGGAATTTTCGTTCCTCATGGTGAAAATCGATTCCCCGGTTATGACACAGAATCTAAGAAATTAGACGCAGAAATCCTTCGTAAATATATATACGGAGGTCATGTAGCTGATTATATGCGCCTTCTTCAAGACGAAGATGATGAAAAATATAAACGTCAATTCTCTAAATTTGTTGAAAAGGGTGTTAGCGCTGATGATCTGGAAGAAATTTATAAAAACGCACACGCAAAGATTCGTGCAGATCCTGTGTTTAAACCCACACAAAAGAAAGGTGATTACAAGGATTTCAAGAAGGTATGTCTATTCAGTATTTCCATTTTGTATTTCGCTTATCATAACATTAATGCTTGTTTATTTTATTAGTATAAAAAACATCGCTTGAACCTTAAACAAAGGAGAAATAAAGTTCAACAAAAGATTGATGCCTTCAAGCATTCTCATGAAGGAGAGGAGGAATAGGTAGTGATCCTAGCCAATAATGAAAAATCGGCTAAACCTAATTTTCGGATTAGCCAGTCGATTTTATTCAAAATCGATAAAAATTCACGCATAAGCTTTTGATAACTACAAAATGTTGTTTTGTTTTTGTATTGAATCATACTTTCTCGTGTAATATCAAATATATTTTATATTATTAGAGATATAGTACATAAACGATGATGGATTTAAATCAATGAGAAATGATACAATATTTTAATTATGGTGTACGATTTAGATTAAAATAAATTAAAAAACTATTAACTCATGACAAAAAAAAAACTGCCAAATTTAGCTAAATCAACTTAGTGGTATTCTTTTGAAAAAATACTTACCCTATGTTACCTAATAAAAGCGACCAAAATGTGGCAAAAAGAATGACCGAAGCTATTAGAACGTTATTCCCCACGCTTATAGTTAAGCATTAGGATTTTCACATTACACCTGATCTCGTCCTTGTGACTGAATGTTGATCGGCCAGAGCTGCGGTGATTTAAATTCTGCGGCGTTAAAATTCTATTTCTGCAAGTACTTCTGCGCAAAATTACTAATGTGTCAGACCTTTCCGACATATGTAAAATTACTGTAATTTTACGTAATCTTGAGTAAGTATCCGGAATTTGCTTTGTAATTTTGACCATTTTCGTGAGGAGTTAAAATTATACAGTATATTTAAATCAAATGATGCATAATGTTGGCTGAACTTTTGTAAAGCTGGTATTTTATACCGGGTTGGTTAGAAGTCCCTAAACAGGACTTTTTTGCTACCTCTGCTAATATTAAGCGTTGCTTATATAAATTTATATACCCAAGTAAGTGAAAAGCTCTCGGATAGGAAACCAGCATAAGTCCGGAGCATAAATAAAAAATTTATATACGTACTATATTCTACCAATCAGCATCACGGAAGCGGACAGGCAGAATTCTAACGTGATCACTTGCTGTCGTAAAATCAGTGTCCTCCGCTTCGCTCCGGACAAAAAACTTTTATTATTAGTGTTATTAGAAGAGATAGCAAAAAGGTCCTGTTAAAGACTTTTAACCAACCCGGTATATGTGATGAAATTCACATAAAATCCGAAACCCTGATAGAAACATGCAATTTGATTGAATCTTAGTCTGCGACAAATCTAATTTCTACAAAAATAAGTGAATTTTGCAAATTCTGCATTTTCATCGTCTCTGCTGCCAGATCGGATAAAAATTAGTAAACGTGTTATTCTCGTTTAATATGACGTCATGACGAAGCTTTTCAGAATCGAAAGTCGATTAATCGATAAGTTAGCCAAATTGGCAGATTTAAAATTATAGAACTTTTAATCGTTGAACGAAGATGTTGCCCAAATTATCTGAGATGGCCTAAACTATAACAGTCAAGAGACATGTCGCGCTGTGTGATGAATTATAATAAAAATTATAAAATTTATTATAAACTTATATTATTTTCAACTTAACATCTTATTTTTAAATACATTCTACCCTCATTATAACGGATATTCATTTATTATAGGATATAATGGACAAAATCTTTCAGCCCGAAGGGTCCATTATAACAGTATACAGTATATATTAAGGTTTTTTAAAATATATACCGCACCACACCCTCTGCCTTATTTTTTAAATCTCAGAACTAATCTGAGGTTTAAAAAGTAGGGTAGAAGGTGTGGTGTAGTGTTTATTTTCTGGATTTTACAATTCTCAAAAATTGCACCCAAAAACTCTAATCTCTGCCTCTAATTTGCACCCTAACTCAAGCCTAAAGTATCAGTGAAATTCACCCCTGGTGAATTTTAAAAAATTTAGATGTGACAAAACGTGACTGTTACCATTCAACAAAATTATACATACGTAACAGGAAATCGTCTTTGAAAGCTATTTGTATACGTGACCGCACGAGATTTTTCATCCAAAGATAAAATTCTACGTTTTACCATGTTCTCCTCAGTGAGAGTTGCTTCAGACGGTGTCGAGGATAAATACAGCGTAATTCTTCCGACATATAACGAACGCGGAAATCTACCAGTGATCATTTGGCTTTTAGCTAAAACGTTTAAAGAACAGTACGTATTCTCTAAGACCCAACACCTCGTAATTTGAATTCCGCATCTTCTAAATTTCTTTATAGTGACTTAGATTGGGAAGTAATAATCGTTGATGACGCGTCACCGGATGGTACCCAAGACATTGCAAAACAGCTTGCAACCGTCTATGGCTCAGAACATATTGTAAATATATTTTCATTGTATTATCTAGCATTTGGGTCTTTACCTCGGAAATGACCTTAAGACATCGTAAATAAATTTTATAAAAAAAGGTTTTAAAACCACGTTCTGGAAAGCTTGGTCTGGGAACTGCCTATGTTCATGGATTGAAGTTTGTCACTGGAAATTTTGTTATCATAATGGATGCAGATTTCTCTCATCATGTAAGTAATTTACTATGTCATACTAATTATCATTCATATCTTTTATTAATTCTTCTTTAGCCAAAGTTCATTCCGGAATTTATAAGGTAATTAACGACGCTTTTATTTGAACGTTCATCTTTATTGATATCATTCTTATGCATCCTAGACTTCAGAAAAGCAATAATTATGATATTGTTACTGGAACGCGATACGCTGGCAATGGTGGTGTATATGGATGGAATCTCAAACGTAAAATAATAAGGTAATGAATCGAAGTTACACTGTCCTTGACACCAAAAAAAAGTTAAACAGACTTGCTTTCTAATTAGTCGAGGTGCAAATTTTCTTGCCTCAACGCTCCTTCGTCCTGGTGTAAGTGATCTAACTGGCAGCTTCAGGTGTGTGTGTATTGAAGGCAATTTTCCAAAAAATAAAAAATTCTTATATTATATTCAATGTTTCAATGAGTCAGGCTGTATAAAAAGGAAGTGCTAGAAAAAATTATAACTGTAGTAATCTCGAAAGGTTATGTATTCCAAATGGAGATGATGGTTCGTGCACGTCAATTTGAATATACAATCGGTGAAGTTCCCATCACATTTGTTGACCGTGTTTATGGAGAAAGTAAGATGGGTGCTAGTGAAATTGTTCAGTTTGCAAAGGGTGTCTGGCAATTGGTAGGTTAATTTTTATAGTTATTTTTTTTTGTAGTATATTTATTCAATAATATTTACTTTATTTAATTTTTAGTTTATATCTGTTTAATTAAAGCAAATTAATATAATGCTGTTTAAAATATGGGTTGTTTTATAGAATACTAAAACTATAGTATAAATGCAAAGGTTTAAATATATAATTTAAAAAAAACAATAAATTTAAATATAATATAATTTGATGTCAATTTAATATAGTATTTTATAAAAATACAGTACAGTATATTTTTATTTCAAATTTTATTGATTAATTAATGTCGCAGCTGATGCTGAAAACGGCTGATGCTGAAATTTTTTCATATTTTATTATAAAATTATAAAAAATTTTTGGGCCTTTTTTTTACACTTTTTTTTCATAGTTAGGTTAGGGTTAGTAGGGTAGTTTTATTAATAAAAAAGTATATGTGGATTTTAGTATGTATTATAGATTTAAATAGAGACCCCAAATTTCAGCATCAGCTGCGACAATTAATATTCAAAAACTGGAATGCAAGATGTCCTAAGTAAAAATGCTTTACGCCTCTAAAAACCTCTTCCTGAACCCTAACCCTAAATAATAACACTAACATGAACATGAAAATTTTGTGTTAAAAATTTTTTATACATAACTTTGAAAAATCCAAAAAACATAATAAAACATATGATAGGTGCAAAACTAGGTGCGTAAATGTTATTAAATTATATATTAGGTTAAATTAATAAAAACCAAGCAAATATTTTTTAATAAAAAAATAAAACATTTTTTATTAAATTTGACTAAATTTTTGTTAATTTATTATTATTTAAAGTTTAAAAATTTTTATATAAAAAGAATTTATTTAATATTCACCAGTGGTGAAATTCACCATCATAAGAGTTTTAGGGTTAGGGTGCAGTTTTAGGATAAAAAGAGTTTTATAAATTATATACAGTACAAGGTTTTGATTTCAGTTTTCGTGAGGTTTTGGGGGTCCTGAACATTTTTACTTAGCCTCTCTAACTTTAATTACTTAGAACGTTTTTGAGATACAGCACCCCGGTGAATTTTACCTCATATAAAATTTTGGTTAATTTTGTTGGCTTATTATATATATATATATATATAGTATATATATAAGATATACAATTACATAATTTTTTAAAAATGCCAAAACTTTTTATGTTTTTTGCACCTATACTCTTTAAATATCAAATCTAACCCTAAACCCTAATCTAACTTAAAAAAAAATCCAAATTTCAACATCAGCCGCGACAATTTGTTTTTTTTTTTTTTGTATTAAAAATGAGATACTCTTATTTTTATTCAAAATAGTGATAATTGGTCAATCGACCCGAACCGAACAAATTTCGGTTAACCGATTGAGGAAATTATTAATCGGTTGACCCGGTACATCCGGTTGAGGATTGGATAATCGGTTGGCAGGACCGATGTATTATGAAAATGATACAAGGTGAGCAAGTTCTGAAGTTGAGACAAAAATTTGAGCAAAGATCCGAGAATTTCGAAGATAGACCTCAACCGATTGACAACCGGTTGAATATATAATTCGGTTCGGTTAACCGATTAAAGAAATTTTTCTCGGTTCAAATCACTAATTCAAAAAACGATAATAAGTATATATATAGCTTAAAATAAATTTAACTTACTAAAGTAAATTATAACTTATCTATATAGATTTGTATAGTTAAAATATGTTAGTTACAAAGAGATTCAAATATTAATTTTGTGAATTTAAAAAACTATACAGATAGTTACATGTAGGATTTATAGATATAAGAGTAAATATACTTGAATAATACAATCACGTTAAAAGAATTTTAAAAACTTTACCTTTAATAATATAATATCATCATGCAAACTGAGAGAATTATAAAAAAAACCTTCGCCCTAAATAACGTTATCTTATTTAATGGGTATCGGTAAATACACTGTATTCACCGATACCCATTAATGTGTTCTATCATGTGACCAAGAATTTTAAGACCTTCGCTTAAATAATAACTCTATTAGCACCAGATATCAGTCGATATCGCAAGGTGGGAGGGAGGTGGACGAAATATCAGGTCGAAATCTATAACCAATCACAATAAAACTTCTCAGAAGGGAGAGGGGAGCTTTATAGTAAATTGGTAGCTAATATCTGATGCGTCGTCGAGAAATTAGTTTATCATTATCATTATTATTATATTACGTATAAGTCGGAAAAACCCGTCAGTATAATGCTTATTACAGTTGAATTGAGTATACAATTGAACCTCCCAAAACTGATCCTGTCAAATCTGATGAAATATTAAATCTGATAACCTCTCAATACTGATACAAAACTTGTCCACCATGCATACCGATTTTGGGAGGTTCAACTGTAATAATAATACGACATGATGAAACCCGCGCTGAATTTTAGTTAAATCCGCGTTAACATATAAAAAGTACTATGCTAACGCGGATTTCACCCTATGAGCGCGTTGGACAGTGCCTCATGTGATTACAATAACGCTCGAGAATAAATCACATATTGTGTCGGATTGGTCTTTTTGATAGAGGAGTTACCTTAGACTAGTTGACCAATCGGAAAACGTTAGCCTATAAACATCAATACACGCGCATTTCATTCTATCTTAAAAACAGTTCATCATATATAAACTGTCCGAGTGACAACATAAATTCTTCAGATTCACCGATAATCATTTCACTTAGCTGACGTCGCGCAACTAATAAAACGTTAACCCTATGTGATATCGGTTAAGTGAACTTTCGGTGAAATAAAATGAGCAGCATCGAATTCTTCTGGGTCACCTGAACAAGATGGCTCAACAAGAATAGAATGTCTACTTTCTTTATCGACTATATCGATTTGCAAAACAATATAAAACCTTTCTGTCTATAATATATCATAAAAAAAGTGAAAGGTGACTGTGACCTGAGGTCAGGCAATGTATTACCTTTAATGTTGCCGTGGTGTAAAATGCTATTTAAAAAAAATTTTTTATATGATTTATACCATATTAAAAGGTCATAAAGTCATAAGTAACTTTAGAATTGAGAGTCGTTTGAAAAAAATTATTCATTGGCTAATTACTAAACTAAAAATCCAAATTATCTTTTATTTGTTCTCTGCCTCTGCTGCTTTCAATGCACTCTTTGTAAATTGAGGTAAAATAAAAGCTGCTTCATGAATTTCAGAATTATAATACTTAAATAATTTTTCTTCCTTATCTTCTGGCCATTTTCTAACCGGTTTCTTCATATTACGAGATGGATCATTACAACATAATAATATACCGATTTGACCTGATGGATAGGTTGGGATTGTGGTATAAGCATATTCGACTACTGGGAATAGTTGACGACAAAAGTTTTGAACCTCGGTGATCAATTTAAGGTGAAGCCATTGACATTCGCCTTTAATAAATTGTAAAAGGTTTTACTATTGGTTAGGGTATTATTTTAGAGGTGCGAAGGATAATAAAAAGCTACCTTGAGCGGAAATAACGCCACCAGGACGCAACGCTTTTTTCATAAGTTCGTAATATTTAAATTGAAATAAAGACTCAGCTGGTCCTAAATATCATAGAGCAATTAGATTAGGCATTATCATGACAAATAATCCAATTAAATACATACCAACAGGATCAGATGAGTCAGTAATTATAACATCATAAGTATTAGCTTTATCTTCCAAAAAAGGAAATCCATCACCAATATGAACTTTAACCTTGGGGCTATCAAAACCAATTGCCATTCCGGGTAAATATTTTTTGGATACGCGAATTACCGCCTACATAACATATGCATTTGCATTAAAATTATACTCCAAAGTTGATGGTGAAAATATGATGATAGTAACCTCATCAATGTCACACAAAGTAACTTCTTCAACTGATTCATGTTTAACGACCTCACGGAGAACCCCGCCATCACCACCTCCAATTACGAGAACCTGTTTTATATATTTAACGTGCCAAATGAGAATTTTAGGAAAAAGAAAAGTGATTATAATGAAAGTGTTAACAAACTTTTTGAGGATTCGGATGGCACATCATTGGAGTGTGAGTAATCATTTCTTGATAACTATTCACAAATTTGTTTATAAACATAATCAGATCAAATTTTAAGGCAACAAATCAAGTGTTAGCATAAACATACGAAAATTCATCACGCTCAGTGCATTGAATCACGCCATCTAATGCTAACACAGTTCCGTAAGTTTTAGATTTAAATACTAAAACATCTTGATAAAGAGATTTTTCGTGATGAAGAATTTCATCGATTTCCAAACCCATTGCTAATTTAAAGAAGAATAACGTTCAAAAGACATTGATGAACATTTGCATATTGGATTAAAAAAAAAAAAATTATGTGCAAGCAGAATACCTTGGCCGGGCCAAAGTGTCGGTTTCTCTCGGAACCATCCATCTGATAGAAAAAAAAACAGTACAATTAATTTTATAATTAGCTGAATATTGGTAATTGAAATAATAATACAACGCTTGCCTTGAATTTGAGGATGTTTAAAGGTTTCAGTCATTTTGTGATTTGATAACTTTCGTTATAAGCGAGTAGTCTGAAAGTATCAAACAAAAAAAAAAAAAAACTGATTGATAAATTTTTTATTTGGTTAATTTTTGGAGCAATGTGGCGTTGTTAGAGGTTACACGCGATTACTTTGAGCTAAAGTAGTTGGGACAACCGGATCTAAGTACGAAAAATCCGACTATTTTGGTGTGCTTTGCGCATTTTAAGCATCCCAAGATCTCGTGTAATATAAACTTCCCTTTTGTGTTCTAATAAAGAAATGTTAACTAACTGAAAATAGAGGCATTAATTGCTTTTCATTACGCTTTGGACAATTTTTGCGCAAGTACACTTAAAACTTTTTCGCCACTTTCATATTGTGCAATTCAGTATCCATTTGTTGTGTATAGGACTTACATTAAATACATTAATTTTAACCCAATATTTATATTTGCTTCAACTTATTTAAGATCTTAAACCAGCAAGAATCAACAATAGATAGAAATATGATCAAATAAATGTAGCATCCAACTAAATTTTGTCTCAGGCTCAGGACCTATAGTTTTTCGTACTATATTATACAATAATATAGTTAATAAAGTTAATAGATCTAAAAACCCAAGCACACAAAATCTCTAAAACACACGCATAATATTATTATGACGCTTTAACAGATTAGTTGTATATGGAATGAATTTGGCCTCGTTTAATGTACTTCTGAAACAATGATCTTATTGTAAAAGCTAAGAAAATTAACGTTAATATGAGTTCCAAGTTTTTTTGAATTTCATGTGATGAATTGAGTGTATAAAAAAAAGCAATCATATTCATCCTAATTTCAAAACTTCCATTATGCTGGTGTAGCACTAGACTAGCATACATTTCACATCGCGCGCGAAACTCTGTCGCGCGAGTCATGTAATAAGATTATATGCTAGAAATATTACTAAATTTTCTTAATTGAATAGTTTACTTCGCGCGAGATGTGATGTCATCTCAGGTAAAAATCTCGCGAGCGCGATAGTTTGCGCGAGGTGCATCTTACAGTACCGTAATATATGAATTTACCAAGTTTCTATTGCCTGCAGTTATTCGTGCTAGCTTGCATATCTGACATCTCGGTTAGGTTTAGTGGTGGTATTATACGCAGTTGGTTTCTTAGACGAAATTTCGAGACTTTTTCTCTTATCGAGGGATGTTACTGAAAGCAATGAAACATAACTATGGATCCTTTCCGCTTTCGTGCAATACTAAATACCATGCAGTATTGGGCCGCATAATACTTTGCTTTCCATTCCACACTCATCAAAGTAGCTAAGAGTTATACACAGCATTGTACACGGAACAGTCGGGACAAATTTGAGATTTAAAAAAATATCAATAGCTCAAAATTTTATTAAGACACCTCTCAACTCTTAAATAAAAATGTTAAAATTTAATTTTACATATATTTTATTATACTGTTCAAATTAAGTTAATGGGACGTCCCTAGACTGAACAGAAAACCGATGTCAGGGTAAAATCTTTAATTTCGAATCATGAAACTTGGAATTAGTAAACGCGTACTATATACTATTATTACTACCTTTAACAGTGTTAGTGAAGAATAGCTTGAAAATAACACAATGAAGAATAATGAAGAATTTACTATCGATAAAGATTGGCGTGATTAATATTGAAAGAAAGATAAGTATCATTGCCGAAGCATTGCCTTGAAGAGTTATATCATTCCCACCATGCTCGTTCACATCTCATTGCTTGTCTACTATCCCGACCATACTAGTCCTCCATCCCAGGAAACCGAATCGATACGGAGCAAAGCAATACGGAGCAAAGCGATACGAAACAAAGTGACACAGAACAAAGCGGTGCAGAGAAAGCGCCAACAGCCTGGTTTGGAAACCAATGAAAAAATTAGAACAGACTTAGTAAACAGGGCATGTAATTTAGAGCTTGGAATCGATGAGTTTCGAGCATTGTTTAATAATCTCGACCAAAAATTCAAATGTTCAGAGTTTTTTAAATATCAAAAACATATAAAAAAAAATTTAGTGTACCATTAGTGTTCGGCACAATCAAACAAAAATTTGATAGTAAAATACTTGTGATTAAGCCGGTCATCAAATAATCGAATACTACATATATACGTGTATACATATGTATATGAGTGTCGCCAAAAGAAAACCCGACAGTTTAAATATAGATTATATTTAAATTGTCGGGTTTTCTTTTGGCGACACTCATATATAGTATTGGTTAATCTGCTCCGACTTAATCACAAGTATATATTTGACTACCAAATTTTTGTTTCTTTTTCTACCTCATACACATTAACTTCTCTCTTAAATTGCTAATGTTAACTTAGAGTAAAAAAAATTTTTTATGCTTATAATATAAAAAATATTAAAGAAACAAGACAACAAATCTTTAATACTATCAATAAAAAATATTTTAAATTTCAAACTTACTTTGCTTTAATAATTAATGTCGGGGATGATGCTGAAATTCACGTGATCACATGATGATCTCCGCTATTATATAGTAAAAGTTAAAAATTATATTATAACTAGATTTAGTGTTTAATAAATCTACTTTCATGTACTAACAAAAGTTGTTCTTTAGATTGAGACGATTCTAATGATAGTAAAATAATCAAAAACAACCCACTAGATCGTCTGCAATAGTTCTTCAAAGTTTAAATTGCTGTTTTATAACTTGCAAATCATATAAACAAATGTAAACAAATGTTTTAAAACTTTGAAGAACTATTGCAGACAATCTAGTAAGTCGTTTTTTTTTATGATTTTACTATCATAAGAATCGTCTCAATCTAAAGAACAACTTTTGTTAGTACATGAAAGTAGGTTACTTAACACTAAATTTAGTTTAAAAATATTTTTTAACTTTTACTATATAATAGTGGAAATCATCATGTGATTACGTGAATTTCAGCATCATATCTGATTTCAGCATCATCCCTGACAATTAATAGTACAGTATTCTTAACAGATATTAAGATCTAGTTAAATTTAATAATATTAGACTAGATAATGATATTGTTACAAGTGGGATAGCCTTCTTAATATGCCATCTGCAACATAGCACACAGCAACAGGGATCTCTAAAACAACAGGGCAAGATATGAAGCAGTGTGGAAGTGGAATGTTTTCTCACTAGGGTAGTTTAGTATATTCATTAAAAGCATAGAGACATGGTTTACTTTAGAGCAAAGATATATTTATTTATTTATAATACAATGCCTAAATACAAAGCTATCTATAGATATCTATTTCTATAAAATCCTAATAATTTAGAACATTACAGAGAACAAATCCTCTAGTACAAGGAAGAGTAAAAGCTAGAGTTTATATAGCTTTAACAACATATATAAAAGGTTTAAAATGATATAAAAAGTACAAAAGAATATAAAAGGTATAAAAGATTATAAAAGGTATAAAAATATATAAAATATATAAAAATATATATATATATATTTTTTAATATTTAGAGTGTAGCTCCTGCCCCAGACTTTTATTAATACTTAAGTAAATTGACATATGATGGTACCGTAAATACATACATATTATATATCAGAACTAGAACTAAGACATCAAGTACTAAACCTATTTATTTATGGCTAAAACCTACTAGAGCCATCAACACTCCCATACATGTAATTGACCTGGATTTTTATACATCCCTCTCCAATCACCAATCAGTATATCAGTATTCACATGTTTACCACATTACCCACAAACCTTTTATCTTCAACTCCCAAATCGGTATATACTAGGTAGTTCTACCCTGAAATCCTGAAAGCCATTTTTCCAAAAGGACATAATACTGACTAAATTGGCCAGCATTATAACTAATGCTGGCTAACTTTGTCGATATTATGTCTTTTTTGGTAATCTGTTTTTTGGGATTTTAAAGTAGAACTATACCAGGTAGGCGCTTATTGCTTTTGGTTTGGTATGCCTGTCAGAGGGATTTCTCTCTCAATCTAGTACTCGGCAAAATCAAACAAAAACTTTATTATTGGGTTTTTGAATTTATCAATTTACAATATTGTGTATTAAATACAAATTTTTATTTTTAGTATATATATAAATCTAACAGGAATCCAATCTTACTTTAGACTTCGTGGTAACTAATATGAAGTTTAAAGTCAGATTAGAGTAAATATAGATTTTATAATTGAAGCACAATACTATAAGTCAATAGATTTAAAAACTCGATTATTGAGTTTTTGTTTAATTTTGCCGAGCATTAGTGCTGCCGTTGTCCGAGGACCCGTGTCTCAAACCACCTGCTGCTATAATTAAAGTTTTCAGGCCGAGTCCCTTGAAGTAGCGCCATATTTGTCCGTAAACAAACACATAGTTGCATTCTGCTAATCTGTCCAGATTTGGGAAGTAAACAATACCGATCTTTTGGAGGGGGTAAGCTAAATTTCCACTTTTTGTTGAAATTTTTTGAAAGACCGATGCGATGGGAAGGCAAGTAGAAGTAGAAGAGGAACTACTTGACCAAGTAAAAGAGTGTGGCTTGAAGAAAAGCAGAGCCTTGTTGTTTCCTCTATATTCTTCTACTGGAAGTAACAGTCTAAGTAACTTCGTTGATGGGCTAACCATTGTCTTTCCACCAAAATTTTGTATTCAAGGGTGTATACCTCCAGCCAGTTATCTTGTATACTAACACTTTTGGCTTGCATGTCAAATACACAACTTATAGAGAAGTTCCGAAAGAGTAAAACCATTGACCTCTAGGCAAATCACTACATTAGGCCACAACTCTTCAACAAAAATTCTGTTTTTTCTTCGGTAGGAATTTTGGTCCAAATGATCGTCGGGATATATAGTACTATATATAGTACTATATATATAAATATATATAAATAATAATACAAATCTATTCTGATCTCGGAATCCTGTAATTAGATTTTGATTATTTTGGGCTTGTTAGAATCGTCTCAATGAGACAAACATTTTGGTAGTAAAATTATCCAAAACG